CAGCAGTCTTAACATTGCTGTACATGCAGTTCATTCCCCTATTCTCTAAAACATCTGAGATTGTTGTTTCCTCATATCCTTTTAATTTCTTTTTGATTTTTGATGAAAATGTGTGCTTTTCCCAAAATATTCATGGGCATTCTTCTGACAAGATTCTGTTACAGTATGGTCCAAGAGGCGCCTTTTAAAATTACAAAGCAGATGGAGGAAAGCCAAACTGAGTCAGAACTGCCTCCTAAATAAAACTGTGTGTCAGTTCCTGCATAAGCAGCTCCCCATTTTGACCTTGGTTGGAGGCCACCCTGTCAGGCAGGAAAATATGTAGGGGTGCGGTTAGAGGGGAGAACATGTTTATCAGGCATCATCCTCAACTATTAGTGCTCCCGATTTTCTGCTGGATGCCTGCCGTCAGTAAAGCAGTGATTGGAGGAACTGGGACACTGCCTGCAGGGACCAGGTGAGCGGGATGCAACCATTTGCAATTCCGAGACAAAAAGACGCAGCAGTGTGTGCTGCTTAGGCGGCTCTCTTTGTTTGCACATATCATTTCCACTCTAATGAACACTGCACAGTAGTGGGCCCTTTGTAACAAAGCTCAAAGGTAGGATCAGGCATTGTTTACATTTTGCATAGGTCCTTGCAGGGCCTGGGGAACAGTAAAAGTGTTTTTCTCTTCCTGTGTGGGACCAACCGTAAAAGTGAGTCAGCTTTAGCACCCACAGCAATGGCAACTCTTTGATTTTGTTTTATGCCACTCCTCATATCTAAGTACAGTGTAAACCTTGAAAACAAATTGCAGAAATCCTTGGAGTGGAAAAAGGAAATGTTGTAGTGTCTATCACAAATTTCAATGTTGGATTTGTCTCTCTATCTCCTCTCCACAGTATGCAGGTGGCCAAAGCCTCCTGCTGTGCTCAGAGCTGTTCAGTGCTTAGTGTCTCTGCCAATGGAGAGTTGCTGGCCCTGTCACTGGTGTGTGTGTGTATGTGTGTGGGTGAGGGAGAAATGGAGATTTTCAATGTACTCTGCAGCAGCCCTCTACATCCGAGGGTTTTGAAAGGAGTGTAAATGGTCCTTCCTCCAGTGGAAACGTGCTCAAAAAATCATTTGACTGTTTTGCATATGTCTCAAGCACTTGCTTTTGCTCTGCTCTGTGATGTGATTTCATTTCTGTTGTGTTTCCTCTTCCTTCATGTCTTTAATTCAGCACACTCATGTTTCCCTTTAGACAAGAGGCGCAGGGGCATCCTGGAAGGCCAGGACTGTAAGATCACACAGTGTAATCTCAGTGTCCTTGTGTCTAATTTGACCAGGGACCTTTTTCTCATGTTATTTCCATTTCTCAACCCTGAGGGTACCAGTCAGTCTTTCATCTATCCAGGGAAGATTCAGTACATTGTCACTAAAAATTACTCCAAAACCAAACAAAAATTCAACAAACTCAAAATGATCCCGTAGTTTGCTTCAATATAATTCCACAGATATACGGTGAAGCAGTGGTGGAAGCAGTACTGGCAATAAAAGTAGCAATACTACAATGTAAAAATACTCTGCTACAAGTAAAAGTACTACATTCAAAATGTTACTTTAGTAAAGGTACAAAAGCATTAGCACCTAAATGTACTCAAAGCATCAAAAGTAAAAGTAGTCATTATGCAGAATAACCCATTTTACCTTCATGTTGCCAAAGAGAGCAGAGAACTGGACAGCAGTCATAGCTGTAGACAGCAGTATGAGCCTCATGCACGAGTTTATGCTGTATGTGATTCTACCAATGTGATGTATTGTTGTATGTGTATACTACTGCTGTTAAAAAGGGGCGGTTGGTGTGTGAAAAATGGGATGTCAGCAGACACATCCCTACAAATGAGCATTATCTCCACCTAAAATCCTCAACTAGTGTTTGAAGATTGGAAAGGTTTCAAATATGCCACCTTACTGTGAGAGGTTGAGCTATGTTCCTATGTCCAGGGGTTAGCAAAAAGTGGCCTTCAAACAATCTTTATCATATTTGATTAGAATTATTGATGCATTATTTTTTGTCACTTTAATGTTGCTGGTAAAAGTGGAGCTAATTAAACTACCTTATGATTATGCTGTATTTTGTGTAGTTAATTTGAATTTTGAAAAGTAACTAGTAACTAAAATTATCCCATCGATATACTGTAGTGGGAAAAGTATAGTTTTTGCCTGTAAAATGTAGTGGTCTAAATATAAAGTAGCAGAAAATGAAAATACTTGAAAATACTAAAGTACAAATACCTCAAAATTGTACTTAAGTACAGTACTTGAGTAAATGTACTTAGTTACTTTCCACCTGCAGTAAAGTATATTGGCTGAGCTCCAAAACCAAATTTTATTTTTAAAATGTCGGTCTGTGTATACTCTTGATCATTAGACTGCACTTTTTTATTGCATAGAATAGGAAAGGTACAGTATAATTTTTATGTGCTTTGTGTATATGATTGATGATCATATCGGAGTACACTCAGATTTGGAAGAACGCCTACACTCCTGTGCTTCCTGCTTCTTAGTGATAGAAAAGAGTATGAGAGAGGGAATATAAGTTATTTGTATGTTATCATATTTCTAAAGCTTTATTTTCAAAGCCAAACAAAGGCCATGACAAAGTTTTATTACAACAGTATTTTGTATTTCCTGGATCTCTGTTCTCATTAGGTCATCTCTGTTGTGAAAATGTAACTTTGTCCATATTAGTTGGTGGAAAATAATGGACACATGAGGGTGGTGATAGAAACTTGTATGGGAGTCCACTGCTCTGTTTGTAGAAGTAATGATGTGATCGATTACTAAGTGGCCCTTCAACTCTCAAGAAGTGGTGGCCATAGCTGCTCTTACTGTGACTACTGTATATTTTTGAATTTTAACGGAAGGGACATAAGAGTACAGTGCCAAGAGCCAAATATTTAATTGCGGCAGCAGGTTTTAAAATTATTTACAATTCCCTGCATTCTCTGGAGCTACATCCATGTACTAGGGTCCATTTTTAATGATCCTTGAATCTCCCACTTTCAACCAGGCGGCCATGTTGTTTCCTGAGAGCTGCTGCCAAGCTGCCTGTGCAGTTCCACTTCATGGTCATCACATTCTGTACAGGAGCTTGTTCCAATCCCAAAGATACCTCAAGAGGTTGTTACTAATTATTTCAAACATTCTTTTGGCATTCTTATTCACTGTAAAAATAACTATCTTGATGAAATCTTTTCCGATGCTGAGGTCATCGATCACAAAACGTAGGTCAAGTTTGAAAAACAAGCATAAAAAACTTGCATCACTGTGACTTCACCAGACACTTAATAAATTCTTCAACTCTTTCACTACACGAGTCATTGCGCTGAGAGATAAAATGTTCTCGACTTGGTGCCAGCACTTGACAGCTTGGTGGCCCTTACCACCAAACCCACAAGTGCCACAGCTATAAACTGATAGATAGCAGGAATTAACTATGCATCTAATTGCAGGATTTATAAGCATAACTCACTGAGCAGATGGAAGTCACTGGTGTGTTCAGTCACTTTATTCAAACCCCAGGATACTGAACTGCATCAATGTCCAGAGGAACATATTCCTCTTCAAAGTGGGATTTATTTAAACTAATACAAAAGCCTAGTGGCAATTTGGCTCCGGACTGGTATTGTGTCATTGAGTCTTGGCATGCGCTGAGTGAAAACGATTGAATCTATGCCAGATTTTTGGATGACACAGACTATATGCACATCACTGATGTCAGGTGGTGGAGACATCTTAACCCACAGTATAATTGTACTGTATACTCCTACCATACAATCAACCTTTAGTTGCTAAAAGGTTTCTATTTGGGAGAAAGGAACCTCAAATATTTTTGGTAGTTCACATAATTATCAAGTTCTGCACAACAAAATTAAATGTGACATGTTTTTAATTCAATGAACAGTTGAGTCTCTG